GGCACTTTGTCGGTAGATATTAGTTATTAAGGAAAGGTTAACAATTAATTAATTTCGCAGAAACCGAACAACTTCCGTCTGAGTTTTACAAGTTTATACATATTTTAATTTTTTCCTCGAGGACAGTGATTACAATGCATACTTTTCTTTATGTTTTAACATCGAAGACAGATGTTAGGGTGGAAGATGAATGTCTTATCGAGCCGTTTCCGCCCCATGGCTCGAGACGAATTAGCTCGGAGGATCCTCGCAGAGGACGTTACCGGGCGGGGGTGGATGGCCCAAATTGAGGGATTTACAACGGGCCTCCCATCCCAGCGCGCACATAGCAAATTAGCGATTTTACCCGGGGGTGGTAAATCCCGCTTTCTCTCGGGATTACGGCTACCCCTTCACGGCCAGACCCGCACCCCCAAGAAGTTATTATGTGTTACTAAAGCTAGAATTTAAAATGCAGCATTAAACCGGGTGTGCAATCAACGAAAGGTTATAGTTTTAGAAATTCAACGCAATTTGAGTTTTTCCCTTGGATAGGATGATCGCAGCGTAAAAACAACTTTTTAAAGGATCACAGTTTTGAGAAAACCCTTCTTTAATTCTCCAGGATGATGAATTTGTAATTTGGTCTTCCGAACATCACAGTCGGTCTTCCATCGGTTATCTTGTCTATGAGACGCGTTTCATCATTTCATTTTCATTGGTGGATTGAGGTATGGCAGAAAATACCAAGTCATTTTCAATTTTGGGCCCTTGTCATTATTGAACTATAAAGTTTAGCTAATCCAGACGTTGTTTATTTTAAATTGGTACTATTTATATATGAAATGATTAAAAGTATAATTTTATATTATTGATCGCTACTTATATTTCTGTATTTTTCCAAATATAAATCAAGAAACCAATCACAAAATTTCTAACAAACATAATTAATTAAAATTATTATTCAATCAATTATGACTACTAAATAATATATGGATTAACATATTTCTAATGTTGATAATAAGTAACATCTCACATATAAATTAACACATTAACACAAATGTCAGGTGTTATATTCAGCGTCCCCAGAGGATCCAGGGTATCACGGTTGAATTCCCACTTATCCTGGCTCTATCCCTTTCCCCTATGTCTATATTTCCTTGGTACCTTCCTTTACCAGACTATTAACACCCATCGTCCACATTACAACCAGTACATCCGATTCAAATCCTCTTGCCACTCTTACAACACCCGCTCATATCTCTATGGTTTAAACGGTCTTTCTTGTCCGAGGACCAAAATTCTGGAACTTCCTTCCCCTAACTATCCGCAATGCTACTTTCTTTACCCCATTTAAACGTCTCCTTACATGCACCTCCCACCCTGAAAACAGAGTCGATTTAACCACAGTTTAAATTTACTCAGTATGTATTATTTTTCTATGTTCATTTTCGGAGTAACTCATTTTAGTTGTAACTCTTTTGGGTTTTGTTTTATAAAAATCCGTTATTATTACTGCTGTTCACCACGATAACGTTTATTTTTGCGTCAAAATGTTAATAATTTTCAGTTTAACGTATGTACTCGACACGCCCGCCCTAGAATAATTTTTTTTCTTCTTCTTTAAAAATTGTCATTTATTAATGGACTGTAATTCTGATAGTGCTATCTATAAGTAGTATTTATAGCACACATATATATAGTATTTATATATTGGAGAGTTTTGGAAAAGGGCGCCAGCCTGAAAGAGGGCGCCACAAAAAGATCGAGAGTTTTCGCGGGGAAATACCTCTCGGATGAAAAAAAGGATTTTTCGCTCTCTTCTGTCTTGGGCCGACCACCGTGAATACGTGCATTTGATTTTTTGTCTCCCCAAAATTTCATATTTCATCTGAGTGTAGATTGTGAGTAGAGTCTTGTATTATAATTTTTAGTGTTTGTTAATTAATGTATATATGTTTTCTATTATTATTTTTTTAATTAGAAGGATTAACTTTTATTTAAATTTTTTTTTTCTTTTCTTGTTTAAACCTTTTTTCCTGAGAAGATCCACATGGTTACCATAACAGCTATTTGTAATAAACGAATTTCTGGACGTTTTCGTTTCCCTTGACGTCCTCGTCGGTATGTTTTTAAAATGCATTTTAAAACATGATTGTTTATGCGTGTTACATTACAAAGTAAATGGTCCAAATGTGAAATTAATATCGCAATTGACACATTTTAATTGTTGTTTATGAAGAACGAACACAACTTATTTTTTATATAAGATTTAAAATTATTGATGAGATGTGCTGGAATCTCATTAAAAGGATGAAATTTATATCCCAGTATGTTTGTTAGCAATTCGCGTCGAACAGCCCGTAACGGGCTCTCGTCGAAACGCCCGTTTCGTCCCGCAGCTTATGAATGACAGAGACGTAAATGCACCAGTGACAGATAATTGTTGGAGGCGCGTAATTGATTGTATATAATTGGGTTGGAGAAGGCGGCTTCTCTGATGTTGCCGGCGGTAATGACAGAGGAGGCCTGTTAAGAGCCCCAGGCGATCCGGGATTATTTAGGGCTCGGTACGCCCACTTGGATACACCGACACCCAACCTGAGAAAACTCATTTCCCACTCCATCCGAGGGAATGGCTGTCTAAAAATACCGAGCCTCGACCCTACCAAACCCTGTCCTGACAATGATCTCGAAGGATCAGGCTAATTTAAGTGTTCTCCGTAACATTCGCCGACGTTAATTTCCATTTAGGCATTTTCACGTGATCCCGCTATCGGTTGCTCAAGCTCGGATCCGCTTCAATTTCAACAAATTTTCAAGATAAAACGTTAACCGATCCGCACCAAAGGCGATGTACGCCTTCTTTCTAGCCGTAGGGTCACGCGAAAAGTCGTTTTTGACTAAACAATAGGACCCGACCAATTAGAAACGATTACCGTTCCTGGGTGCGCCTCAAACAATAGAGAATTAATCTTAATTGGAAACTTTTCCCTCAAAGGCTTCTAGATCGCGTTCTTCCTTGGTTAAGGTTAAACGGGATCTCACAGTTTAAATTTTAAGACAAAATTTTATGTTATATAATTCTGTTTTTGATATAAGCTTTATGACTTTATTAGCAACAAAGTGCATTTTAAACTTAAAAATGTTGCCACTGCATGTAGTGTATCGTAGTACAGAAACATTTCCTTGGTTTTCCTCGTCTTTCCATTGTCTAAAATGAATAAGACAAAGGACAAAAAAAAAAAGAGGAATCATTTTTTAAGAATTTTAACCCATTTATTTTTCAAAAGAATTTTAAAAAAAGAAGAGCACATTAATGTTTACTACCTTGTTAACAATAAAAGACAATGAGGGGAGCATCGGTGGCCGCAACGATTTAGGCGTTGACACGGCGCTCATCACTGTAAGGTAAAGGTCCCGGGTTCGAATCCAACGGCCTTGCATTCGAACTCGACATACTTACAAAAGGGACTTTTTTCAAAAACAGCGGCACCCCGAGGGTTGATATAACCTCTGCTGTTGAGAACTTTCGTAAAAATAAATAAATAAACAAAATAAAAGACAATGGCCTTCTACTGAGACAAGTCCTCTGCATTTGTGACATCTTCCGAATTTCCTGTTATCATCCCTACATTGGATAAATTCCCAAGGGGTTAGGCGTACTCTTGTACGTTTAAAGTGTTTTTGACTACCGTCGGTGGCACCTCTTGCTTGTAAAAAGATATCGCTGTTTCTGTGGATATCTTTGGTGAGTTTTCTCCATAACGCATAACTTCTCTTAAGCTTTGACCATACCTCCTATTTCTGTTAGCGTAAGACACTTCTGTATTTTTCCAAACGAGCCACAATGCCGGATGCGGTGATGGCATTCATCCGCAATTTAAAGCAAGCAGCCTCTTTAGTCAAGAGGTCAACTGTATTATCGTATTTATTGCTAATATGCCCTTTAACCCAAATTATATAAACACAAGCACCTCTTGTCCTATCTTGAGTATTTTTCATTTCTTGTAGCCGTTAGCACAGCAATAACTGTCTGATACAAGCATCGTTAGATGAGGTCCAAGGTCATGAGCTAAAGCGGCAGTTGGTCATCTTGTTATACGGTAATAAACTCTTCAGTGTGCCAATGGTACAATTTTTGGCTCACAAATGGGACCATACATATCATCCATCTAAATGTTTCAAAACCAGACGAAAATAGGATTGTGTCTGCTAACATAATATTGCCGACTCATTAGTCAGATGAAAACTTTGGAAGTGACAGAATAATAGGTTAATAAAAATTCTGAAACTAGCAAGTGAGTTATAATGTAGCTACAGTTACGTATAAGTGCATAAAAGCTCAAATATCCTACCTGATGGATGCAGTACAAAATGGTTTTGAACCACCTTAACAATAAATTTATTTAATGTGGTCTTGAAACGGCCGATGGGACGAACGAAGAAAATGTGAACAATGTTGTTACTAGCTTCCTTTCCTTCAATCAGTCGCGTTTCGACGATTCGCCAGCTACAGTGGTGGGCTTGTACGCTTAAGTACTGTTGTTCTTTAATATAAGGAAGGGCCTCTGGATAATAAGCCACTTGCCGCAGCCTCCCTGGGCCCTCTGTACATCGGCCTCCTAACTCGCACCACCCCGCCTGTCTCAACACCATTCAGAGCAGTGAATCTTCTTCCCTCACAGTTTCAACTATCTCTTTGCAAAATCTAAACCTACAGCTGAACATGGCAAAAGCCAAAACGCGTTTGACAGATCAAAATAACAAGAATAGGCCGACCAAAATGGTCGGAAACGACGATGGTATCGATTTATCTCTGTCCGAAAATGTGTAGGTTTGATGAAAGATTTAGTATGTTACAGATACAGTGTATTTACTTAACTTATTACATGTTATTTTATATAATGTACTTAACAATTTATTGTTTTAGTACATTTATTTATATGTACAACTGTATAATTAACTTTTTGATGATTGATATAACATGAAAATAGTAATAGTAATTTTTATCTGTGTAGAGACCCTATGGATATGATGCTGATGGAGCAGCACTTCTTGCGATCCCCTCTGAGGCTGTATTCAGAATTGGACGCTGAGAATAACAACGGAAATCCTTTGCTATCGGCAGCGATGTTGGAAAAGGCGAGGGCGTTATGGGGTGGCCCTCAGCATCCCTTGCTGGTCCCTTCCCGGATGCCCCTTTGGGGCGGCCACTGGCCTCCGCCCCCGGGACTTCTGGGCCCTCCTCTGCATCGGCCTCCGCAGCTGACACCCCCGCCGGTCTCAACACCATCCAGCAGTGGATCTTCTTCCCCTAGGCCCTTATCGCACAGATACAGCCCTTACCACGTTCAAGCATCTCCTGCCAGGAACTAAGAGATTCGCTCAACCACGTGAAAACTACAGTGCAATTTTCTATTAGCTTCTATTGTAATTAGTAATTTATGTTTGTGTGTAAATAGATGTTTTAAATTTGGCATGTAGTGTTTATTTTGTTTAGAGGAATATAAACCAAAGAATTTTGTATATAGCGATAATTACCCTCATTTTTAAGTACGTAGCAAATTCATGGTACGAAATAGTTTCAATCCAGACCTCATAAAAACAGTGATGTCTGCACCTTTCCGCCCTTCTTCCCATATTTGTAAAATCCAGAAAATCATACAGACGTTGCGGTTTTTTCAGCAGTATTAAAAATTATAAAAGCCCACAGAAGCTGATTCTACGATAAAAATGATTATTTACATACTTTTTAGTGTCATTTACAATTGGAAATGTAAGTAATTATTAATGATTCTTAGAAATTTATTTATTTGAGCATTAACGTACTAAATTTGAAATAAATTGTACGATTTAAAAAATATGGGAATAATGAGTTTCAAAATTATTGATTTTAAAAATTTTTTATTGTCTAATTTAATTTGTAAAACTACTTAACCACTCTCCCACTAAAAGAAAATCCGATGTTGACATTATTTATTTGTATATTTGTATGATTATTCTAGTTTAATTTATACAAGTGTTCGAAATTAGCTAAAATTGTAAATATTATTATGATGGTGTATATAATATATTATGGATGTCCACTGTGTATTTATCAAATATATGCAAATGAATGAAAAAACGGTCGTCATTACACACACCTGCTACCCGATCCAGTTCCATAACCGAGGCAGAAACACGGAGGCATTAAGGACATTCGGACCCGTTGATAATATTTTTCGTCAGCATATTTAGAGCTTCCGTCTGAGGAGTGTTAAACCCACAAAAGGTGGTTTATTTTTTCGGCCCGAGTCACACCGGGGGAGCTATCCATTGTCCCTCGGCTGTAAACTGAATAATATACTGCGCCCCACGTCCAGGATTATGTTTTGAGGCTCATTTTTAATCCCCGAATAAAAAAATAAAAAACGTGAATGAAAAAAATAGGTAGGTAGGAGTAAAGGAAGTTGGCTGGAGAGGACGGGACTCGTGTTGATCTCAAATGACAATGTTTATGGAGAGGCTTGGTGTTGAAGGAACCGGCCGATAACAAAAAATGAATAAATGGTTTTATAACAAGGAATTTTACGAGCAGCGTGGTAAGTACTCAATAAAGAAATCGGCCCAGGTTTCCGAGAGTTCTACTCCCCCAGTCACAAGTCTGAAGAAGGAAATAAAATCAAAAATATGGGTCTGCAGAATTTTAAACCATAGCACCTTGATGGCAACTTATTTAATTATATAACACTTTCTAGGTGATATATTTATCTTATACATTTCCATGAGCAAATAATTTGCAAATGTTGACGACATTGGGTTAATACGAGTTCAGGGTTACCAAATTCACCATACCTGATTTTTTAGCTGTGCTGAGGCTAATTACTTAGGCTTACTATTACCAATTCATCTGTAAAATTTGATCTCGATTCTTAATTCCCATGTTTTACTTCAGTATTTACAAGTAAAATATTGAGAATCTATCACTACAATGAGGATGCTTACAGATTAAAAAAATAATATATAACTGAGTGAGCCGACAGTTATTACTCGAGTCGCAGACCAAATGAACTTTTTGGGTCAATACAGAGCCGAAGAAGACGAACTTCAAATTCGGATTACTCCACAGCAATTCAAAGGGCAGATAAGACCCACGGGAATGCCCATATCGAGGTACGAATTTGCCCTCGGGGTTCTGGTGATTCATGATTCGCTCATCACTGTAAGGTAAAGATCCCGGGTTCGAATCCATAGGCCCTGCATTCGAACCCGACATACAACTTTTTGACACCCTGAGGGTTTATATGACCTCTGCAGTTGCGACCCTCGTAAAACAAATGAGTACTCAAAAATATTTTTTTCGACTTAGCACGAGGTTGTCAGATGCGCGAAAAAACCCGGGATCGTTCTTTTACGTTCACATGGGCGTCAATTTTCAGTTTTAATACCTTTTGTCGTTAGAACAATCCCACGTGGAGAACTGTTTACAATTAACTCACCTCATCTGGTGTAGCTCTACAGTACAAAGTAATTGCCTCTTTCCCCAATCTCTTTTCACCGCTAAATATGGCGAAAAAGTAACATGTCTGGCAGGCCAAAAGATCAGAAACGACCTTGCTACGGGTTAATTAGCCAAGTGTGGGTACCTCTGAACCCTATGATACGACGACCCTTAAGGTTCAAAATATGTGTCTTAAGGCTCATAATTACTATTACAAATTTGAAACGTTATTCTAGACATAAACTTTGATTTGTGTCTATTAACACAGATTTGTCAACTGGCCCCTAGTGAACAATGGGTGGCCGGGGAAGGCGATTATCATCCATGACGAGGTACATCATCATATTTCACTTATAAAGGCGTCACTGGACATTTGTCTATCTCAGGAAGGTAAATTGATTCTAAAAACACATTGGAAAATGCCAAACCAAATAGTTTAAATCGTCTATACGGAATTTTCGTTTCTCCTGTATTAAAAAGTTGCTGGATACACACAAATAAATAAATATGATGCAGATCAATGAATTACATGAATTAAACTTACGATAAATTACATAAAAAATTGCATTTTTGATCAAATTATTTATTATTTTATTTGATTTGTTCAAATATTAAATAATTGCAGTAATAGGCAGGTCATGAAATCCACGAATAATTTAATTGTTTCAAGAGAAAAATAAATTTTAATAATTTATCAATGCTTACTTCCCTCAATTGCAGACAACTTAAATCGCTAAACTTTTTTTATTATTATTAACTCTCTTCGAAATCCTTGAATTGAAGTCGAAAATGCAGAAGAGATTATCCCTACAATTAAAAATTAATAACACTTGTTGCGTTAGCTGCCTTTCGCCGCATTAGCTGCTACACAAAGATTTGCATAATTCCTGGATATAATTACACCTATACTTGACACGAGACGCTGCCCTATTAAAGAAAACTTCTTTTTCCTAACTATAATTAACATAGAAACCTCTGTCATTCGCTAGTTTTTCCGCTTATAACTTTATTTTGTCTTATATTTAATTAAACAAATATTTCTTAACTGTCGGGGTGTGCATTATACTGCGCCCTTTAAAGAGCTGGTGTATCCCCCCGTTCTGTGCTTATACCACACCGGTGCCCGGTTCATCAAGGAACTAGATTGAATCTTTTCAACGGTTACATTGTACGTCCCAAAGCACTTCCTCTTGCAGGCAAGTGTAACACCACACTTTGTTAATAGCTGTGTATTATTAAGAATCTGGACTTGCCCTGTTGGGTTATGCCAAACTTCTTCAGATGTCCATTTAGTTTGCAGTGTCCTGTTAATAATCCTGTTAGGATTTGCAGTTTTTTCTTGCTTCCTTTAATGCACTTTGTTACCTCTTTCCTTTCAAAGTTTGTTAGGAGAATCTTGGATTGTTTGTGTCCAATGAGTGTGCTCCATTGTGCCTTTATTTTTTTTTTAATCCTTCTGACTGAGGTGCTCATTGATAGCGTGTCTCGGGAGCTATCAAGGCAGCCCTCTTCTTGCAAGGGCATCTGCTTTCTCGTTGCCCTCCACTCCCCGATGCCCTGAGATAGGCTGTCTTTGTTTTACCTAATTTGCTAGTATAGTTTTGCAATTCAGCACCATCTTTGAGCTAATGAACTTTGAACTTAGCACTTTGATGGTTGTTTAACTATACCATCTATTCAGATTGAATTGGGTACATCTCTCGATTGCGTGGACCTTAGCTTGGAAGATTCTAGTGTATTTTCCCATGGGTTCTGAGCGTTTGGTTCCAGGACCGAAAATTCCTGCACTTGTACCTTCTTTGTTCTAGTGAAAAATAGTATTGTTATTACTAGTTTTTTTCAATAGATTCTATACTTTATTTGTTATTATTATCCATTAAATTTCAATAAAAGAAGACAACCAAAACAATTTTCATTAAATGTTCTTTATTTATTACCGCATATCGGGGTTTCTCTCTCTTAGTATTTTTAAACTTAAAATTGTCCAGTGTACAGAGCACCTTTTATATCTATAACAACAAATTATGTCCAGGCTCTCCCCTCCATGCTGGAGGCAGGAAAGCGAGAACGGATAGTTCAGTCTAGCCTAGGCATTGCAAGAAAAAACAATAAGAAAAAAAATCCAGCTGAAAAACCAGCCAATTCAGATTTGTATCCACTTTGATTATTATTAATACAAATTATTTCTGTTGTGTGGCCCATTTTCATTTATGGTTTATTTGTTTGGTATTTTCAATTTTTGTTATCAAGGTTGATTATTTTTAATTTTGCCCTTCAGGTCCATTCTTCCCATAGTATCTAATTATTCTTATATTGTTTGTATAATTTGTAAGCAAAGGTTCGTGTTTTGTTGTTTTATATATTTTTTTTATTATATAACGTTTTTGATTCATGAGGAATACATTTTTGTTTTAAAAGGAACAAAATAGAGGTCTACCTCTGCAATTGTATTTGTATTTTATTTCAAATCAAATTCCTTTGATTTTGAGGCAGATCTCCGGCCTCGAGGGGGTCAATCAAACTTTTAAAAAACAGAATTACTCAACCTTAAAGGACCTCCTATATATCTTAGAATTTGTATTTTATCGCGTGGCCAACATCGTTTCAGTCTCCGACGAGGATTGGCGGGTAATGTCGCGGATTAAGAGGTTCGAGTGAATAATTTAGAATGAAAATGTTTGTAATGGAATTGCGTAAAATGGGATTGGGATTTTTAAGTAGGTATGAATTTGTACGGTTAGTGTCTCTATTGGGGGGGGGGGGGGCTAGCAGGCAATGCAGACTTTTAATGAAAGTTTGCGTCGCTTGTCAAACAGGCTGAATCTTGTATTTAAATTTTTACGTTTGAGTCTCGCATGGGGATTTCAACGTAAGTCGTTTGTCGAGGTTAGTATCCAAGGAATCGTACATGTTGCGTAACGGGAATGGGAAAATTATTGAAATAAAGAGCACGGAGAGTTGTTTTTTCTTAACGGTGAAAACAATGTATTCAGATTTATACCAACTTTTATCATTTTTTATAAAGTTATTCTTAATTATACATATACTCGATTAATTGTACACAGTTTTTTCTTAATGAAAAATTGTGTATAATTAATTGAGTATATGTATTTACATTTAGTTTCACTAACCTCTTAGAAACAAAAGATTATTTTACAACACGATAGATAAGTCGATGGACTTATGGACTGGAAGTGTTCGGTTCAGCCAATTCCAACATCCGCCGTACTCAAACCGCCTAATCGTTAATCCTACGAAAAATCCTTGATTCTCCATTTTATATATCGAACTTCACAACACATACAGACTTAAAATCCATTAAGACCATTCGAAAAATTCGAAAACCACCATAAATCAGTACATCCAA